AAAATTTTTTGTTCTTAAACTTGACTATGGTATTGACAGTACTCTCGACAAAGTTTCCAGTCTTATCAGTTATTTAGTAATAATTAGTTCTGAAGTAATTTAAAGAATATTTATTGCTTTATAAAACAAGAAGCTTTAAATAAAAAAGATTTCAAGGTTATAAATTCAACTTTTATTTAGGTTCAATACTGCTTTTTAGTTACTTAAATCAGTTTTTTCTAATGTTATAATGCTTTCACATAAAATTCTAACAAATATCAAGTTTAAGTGCAAGTAATGAAACAACATGTGCCTAACTGCTCTGACAGTTTTAGTTTTTTGAAAAACAGAACTACGTTTATTTTATAGTACTGTCACGACAAAAAATGCTTTATTTTAAACTTAGTAAACAGTTTTTAAATTTGGCTAAAAAAAACCTCTTTATTTACTGAGTGTTTTTTTTGTTGACGTAATAGATAATTAAATTTGAAATTTTGTTTCCTGTTTTTTTACCCTTCTTCTCTCTTAATTTACCAGTAATTTGTAGTTTTTTTAAACAGTTATGACCTTTTAAATTTTCCTGTATTAACGAAAGATATAACTGTACAACTGTTTAAAAGCCAAAAAAAACAACTGTATGTTCAAGTTTTCTGTTGAACGAGGTAATTTTTAGCTGATATAAGCAATTTGCATATGAATTTAAACTCAATAAATGTATGACAAACTTTTACGTTTTATTTCTGTGGTTCAAAGCTATGAATACATAATGAAAAGAAAAACAAGATCTTTTAATTTTATAATTTTTTTATTTTTTTGAAATGCTATCAAATCAGTTTACTGTTGAAAATAAATTATTACTGTTAATGTAAGAAGTTGGATATTCTGTAGCAGTAATTCAACTTCAATTTAAAGATCACTAAATAGACAAGTATCAATTTCTGATCTTTGCTTATCGAAGTCAATATTTTGGCAGAGAAAGAAGCTGTCTGATTAATATATTGGTTTATACAATAGATCAAATAATTTTGAATAAATTTTTAATTTATTCTGAAAAATTAAGAGCAATTCGATGTGCTGTTATAAGTAACTTGAAATTTTTGTTTAAAATGAAGAAAAGAGTATTTGCTCAAAAAAAAAGCGTATAAGAAGAAGTTAGAGGTGTTTAGGAGTTAACCAAATAAAAGTCTCATTGTAAAAAAAGTTGAAAACCGTATACAAGTAAGAATATTTTTAAAAAAAAAAGAGGTTTTTGAGTTTTTTTTTTTT